CTTTTGAAAACGAATAATCACGAGCATCGGACAAAGCAAACATATGAGAGTTACACGTTTCAACCCCTTATGAGTTTCTGGTAATAGCTATTATACCGGTGTAACTTTGCCGTGACTTCCTTTAGACATTTTTTCAAATTGATTTGCAGAGTCAGGGAGGATAGGGTTCATTTGAAAACTGTGCGTATCTCCCGCAGAGAATTACTAGCTACGCCCAATGTGCCGTACTCTCTCCAGCTGAAGAGAGCTGAGTGCAGAAAGATTTCACTTTTAAATTTAAGTCGTATCAGGAATGGGAGATGCGAAGTTCAAGACTGTGAGTCAAAGTTTAAAGCATTAATTGCAGTTTTTCACTGGCGTATTTTGAGGTCGCTGCATCGAAAAGAAGATCTGAGCGAAGACATGTGTGGACTAAGGAAATCGTTACCATGCCAGTTTTCTTTTACGTCACACCATGGAGAGATTGTCGGTACCTGTTACTGATTACTCTGCGGTTGCTTTGGCATACTTTTCGACGAACTTCATGCTTTTTCACGCAAACTTTAACCTACGAGGCCGGCAGTTTTTGGATTGTTTTTCTTTTGGGATTTGCAAAGTAAGAGACACAGCCGTGCGAAAGCTGAAACGAGTTCAAGTGATACTGAACGAGTGGTGCCTCGGTACAGCTCTCGCATGGCTGGGTCTTACGTTAGAAACAAACCATAAAAACGGTCTGCTACACAGGCTACGCAAACTGCCATTTCCCATCTTCACCGAAGCGTGATTTACCTCACATTTATGGTGAATATTATCCTTTTTAAGACAGCATTACCTTTCTCTGTCTCGTGGCTAATTACATTAAGTTTCACTGATGTGCATATATTAAGGAGGCAGTCGGTTAAAAGCAATTTCGTTTATTTTTGCTCTTTTTCTTAAATATCCAGCCAAGATTTCGTTCTATCAAAAAAATGACTCATTTCGAATGGAGTCCTTGGTTCAATAATTCTTTTTGAGATTTGTTGAATGACTTTTCCGTCCAATGTTTTTAATGCATTAAAAAATAGAGAGGGGGTGTTTAAAATTTTGTAAAATTGGAAAATCAGGAGCCTATCAAATTTAATGGGCTCCTGAGAATATTGAATTTGAGGGTTTTTATCAATAAGAATAATTGGTTATTTTTGGCATCTCGTCTCCCGCGCATAGTTTCAACCCCGATTCTCTCTCCTATCTTGCTTAAATGCCGCCTTTAAATAAGTAGACTACGAGTAGTCCCCCATTTTTCCTCAGGGATAGTAGAGCGTGCGAAATGCGAGCGCGCGTGTCGCCTTTTCTCGCGTGGGGTGATTTCACGCTCGCTAGCGTTTCGCACGCTTTACTATCCCTGAGGAAAAATGGGGGACTACTCGTAGTCTATTAAATAAGGGAATTCATCGCAGATCCCCAAACACCTGCTTGTAAACGATTAGCATGCGAGCAAGCTCTCCGGGATGCTCTGGAGGCGGGGCGGGAAGAGGAAGAAGCGCTTTCAACTACGTCTCTGGAATTTGAATATCTGCATGGAAAAAGTCGATGTGAAATGATGATTGGCGAAGATGACATTAGTAATGACGTCATTACCCTTGGCACGTGTCGCGTCAATGTTTGTTTACATTCGCGCTCGCTCCCGCCTTGCGCTAATTGGCCGAAATCTGACAGCCCAGTCGACGGGGAGCGACAGAGGAATATTGGTGGTGGAAGCCAAATTCCAGAGACGTTGTTGGGGGTGACGAATGGTCTTTGCGAGCATTCGCGAGCATGCGAGCACTGCGATTTTTTTGGGAGCACGAGCAGAAATAAAAAATTTGCTTTGCGCGCAGCAAGCATCGAGCAGCTTAGAGAGTACAACTCGCAAGCAGCGGCACTTCTTATATTTTACGCTTGCAGCAATCCATATGGAAATCCTTTTCTTTTAATAAAATAAAACAGAAAATATTTTAAAACGGTGGCAGAACGTCTGTAGAAGGCCCTCACGATCTTCCCTCCTCCAAGACTTTTTCAGGAACAAGAACGACCCTGGAGGCTTTAAAACGAATTCTCAAACTCATTAATAATTTATTAAGAAAATACAAAGGAAATTAATGTTTAATGAGTGTTTGGAAATCGGATGAAACACTGCTTAGTATTTGCATCCTTAATTTCTCCTTCAAAAATGATTTTGTTTGAGAAGAAATATCAAACATTCGACACAGTGTTTCATCACCAGATGAAACACCTCGAAGTTCGTCAAAAATACTCCGCTGCGCGTCGTATTTTCAACTCTCTTCTCGGTGTTTCATCTGGTGATGAAACACTGCATCTCATGTTTGATATATT